TGATTAGACACATAGAAATGAAATGCAAAACCCTAAAATAAGATTAGTACAGTTTAGAAAGCAACTACCCATGCCTGCAGGCCAGTGGGAGGGGGAACCAGGAAAAATACATCTCCTTTTTCAAATTCACTGCACCTCTTAGCCTCCCCCTCCCCCCCCACCTCTTCACTTGCTAACAGTGTTCAGTATTCAGCAAAAGGGTGACTGGTTGGTTCCTCATAAAATGTGTGGGAAATTATCTTGACCATAATTACTTCCATTGACCCAAAGTGGAACATTTCTAACTTGCTCTCTTTCTTTCGGAATTAATCAGCCTCACTACTCTCTCTCTCTCTCCACCCCTCCCATTTCTCTCTGTTCATGCCCCAACCTCAACCCCCACACCCCTTAAAAAACACAGTTTGACCTCCCGGAATGGTTGCAGAGTTCAAAACCCGCCCTGTCGGAGCGTGGCCAGCTCTTGGAGTCCATCCACGTGGGTCTCAAGACTTGTGGCTTTGAGCCCGAGAAGGACATCTTAATGCCTTTTTCCATCTTCTGCAAACACGGGGTTTGCCTTCTCCAGTACCAGTTTCCTGACCACTACAGTAGTTTTTTGAGGCTCCTTCTTCAAAGTAAGCACCACCTCAACTTTTAGGGCTAGTTTTCAGCAAGTAAGAAGGCAAAAAAGAGTCTTGATAATGGATTTCTCTAGTGTGTCTCGACCTGGACAACTTTAAGGAGTTGAAGTGCACATATGGCTGGCTAGAGAATTCTGGGAATTGAAGTCCACGCATGGCTGGCTGGGGAATTCTGGGAATTGAAGTCCATGCATGACTGGCTAGAGAATTCTGGGAATTGAAGTACACACACGGCTGACTAGGGAATTCTGGGAGTTGAAATCCACGCATGGCTGGCTGTGGAATTCTGGGAATTGAAGTCCACGCATGACTGGCTAGAGAATTCTGGGAATTGAAGTACACACACGGCTGACTAGGGAATTCTGGGAGTTGAAATCCACGCATGGCTGACTAGGGAATTCGGGGAATTGAAGTCCACACATGGCTGACTAGGGAATTCGGGGAATTGAAGTCCACACATGGCTGACTAGGGAATTCTGGGAATTGAAGTCCACGCATGGCTGGTTGGGGAATTCT